GACAAGATCGGGCGATCCGTTCCTGCTCCCGGCAAGGGTCTCCTTACGAATGCACGAGAGGCACGACACCGAGTCCCATCCCCAATGTTGGAAATTTCATACAGACGCCGAAGACTGAACATGTCACTCCAGCACATCAAGGAACGCGTCGACATGGAAGTTGACATCGCGGAGGCAGAGTTGGCGGACCTCAAGTGCAGTCCCAGCCCTTATGCAGAAGAGCGAACTGAGGAGATTAATGAACGCCTCCGCTATGTACGCCGCGAAGCTCGGATCCAGGAGAAGGACGCATTGAACACGTTTGGTAACCACTTTTGGAAAAACGACCCAGAGATATCTCCGCTACGCGGTGCCCTGGCAACTTGGAACCTGACTATCAACGACCTGGACGTGGTCTCGTTCCACGGAACATCTACCGTGCTCAACGAGAAGAACGAGACGAACATGATTAGCCAACAGTTGCATCACATGGGTCGCACAAAGGGTAATCCTGCATTGGGCATCTTCCAGAAGTACCTTACAGGGCACTCGAAGGGTGCTGCAGGAGCATGGATGCTCAACGGTGGCCTGCAAGTGCTCAATACCGGGTTGGTTCCAGGCAACCGCAATGCGGACAACATTGACGCAGCCCTCCAAAACGATTATCTGGTCTACCCTAGTCGCAGCATTCAGACCACTGGCGTCAAGGCCTTTTCGGTCACCTCTTTTGGGTTTGGACAGAAAGGAGCGCAAGCGTTAGGTGTGCATTCGCGCTATCTCTTCGCCACGCTGGACCAGGCGACATATGACGCGTATCGGGTCCGGGTCGAAGCGCGACAGCGGCGAGCGCAACAGCATTTCCGATTTGGCATTACGCAAAATGCGCTGTTCTCTGCTAAAGAGACGCCGCCATACCGGAGTGACCAGGAGTTCCGTGTCCTGCTGGATCCGGAGGCGCGTCTGACTGACAACGGCCGAGGGCAGATGGAATATGCGGGATGACGGTGCGGAGTACTTGATGATTGGGTAGTGGATGGGTTCCCATATCCCTCTGGTTCATGTGTAATCGAACTAATTTCCGACTGGTCTTGCAGACTGATCAAGGTTCCCTTTTTGATTTTGTGTTGCACGGCGTTCTGCGAGTTGCGAGAATATATCCACTTGTTTGGTTTGAGTTTGTGGATGTCCTTGTTCGGGTCTGTATATCTAAAGGGGCTGTGTCCCTGTACCAGGGCCGCTCGCTTGACAACTACGCTTGAGTTTAGCTTCATGATTGGTTTATTCAGCAATATACTGTTTATCTTTCGTTGTACTACCGGTTGGTGATTGTGTGCACGACTGGGCTAATCGCTCTTTGTGGTCGGGGGTAGCAAAGCAGAGATGTGACATTAGGCACGGTGCGGTCTTTTCCCCTTCTTCTTGCTTTTGCTTTTCTTCGTAGCTGCTCTAGAGGGTGACTCCCCAAAAACAAACATGGTTTCAGGCGGGGAAGCGTTCACCTGTACAAATGACGGCGACTCTTCAGCTGGCCCGCCATAGTCCTCACTAGATTCCGATGGTTGAGCCTGTACATTAGACACTATCTAAAAGTCAACTATGACAGTTACCCCTAGTAAGGAGTAGTTACGGACCTTCGGCATTTCGATCAACGTAGAGTTGCGAGGAGATATCGTCCTCTTCCTCAGTTTGCGATAGTCCAAGCCCATCTCCTTCTCCTTCCTTGGAATCCAAATGACGTGCTTCCTTGATACCATTCATTCCAATGCCACGGCTACTAGCGAATAGTCTGCAAGTCCACAAGCCTTTGTCAAGGACTTGTAACTTCTTATTCAATTGTTGCCGCAGGGCACGGTTTTCATCCGATTCGCCGGCGATGCGCGATACCAGCTCAGCCGGCATCTCGAAGACTTTGAGGGGTGTGAATATACCAGATAGAGACTGGACCAGTTTGACCTCCACAACTTCAACTGCAACGTCGTCGATAAAGCGTTTGAGTGCCACCTACAATAATTAGTACTAAGTTATATGAGAGGCGTGGCGTTCGGGTGTTGACTGTACCTTGTAATAAGCGAGCATGCAATCCAAAGCTTCGGCTGATGCAAACCGCATCATATCCGGCTCATCGAACGATAGAACTGATTGAACCAGCTTCTCCAAGTTGTACTCATTCTGTAAGTATACATAGTTTGGTCTTTCTTCAGCAACCCCAAAAAAATCCATGATCGTTTCGCGCACGGAAGTCGCGCGCCTCTCCGCACGAATTTTATGTATCGTCTCCGTGAAGTAGTGATTGTACGTGATCGGATGGCCTTGCTGGTGATTTCCAACTAGTTCTTCACATGCTTTTATCAAAGTCTTTTTGAGCTGATTTAGTGCAGGTAAGATGACCTTGTCAAAGAGGATTACGGAAGTGGCTTCGTCGGCAACAGAGCTTGTTAGAAGTAATAGAAACCTCTCGACGACCTCCCATGTCTCAAGAATATGTCGGTGAGTTATATCCCTCCAAGGGCCGCATTGCTCCTTGAATAGTTCGCCAATGATCATCGGATTAAATGTGCCTGGCAGCTCTCGCCCTCTTGTTTGTCTCATGAGCTCCTGGATGTGATTGATAAACTCGCTTCGCGTGATCGACAGTTGCCCTCTGCGGTCCTCATCTTTAGACTCATGTGCCACAATATTACGATAGTGGCCTTGTTCATTCAGACGCTCCGCAAATTCTTCATTAAGGTTCTGAAGAAGTGAACGAATACGCTTTTGTTGGCCCATAGAGGATTGGGCGCGCTCGAAGAATGGTTCATTGTATGTGCCATCGACGGCTGCCTTGACCAAGGTCTGAAACGATTGACTGATCCTAAGAAGATAAGTCTTCTGCTCATCCAGAGTGGTTCGCGGCTGACCAAGCTTGATCAATTGTCGATTGCAATTTTCTTGTTTGTTCTTGATCTCATCAATAAGGCTTGGCAGCTCCGCCGCAATTTGCCGCAGAAGCACCTTGCTGAGGCGGTTCCGCAGAGCATTGATTCCAACACATGAAGGCGGCATCTCCACCCACGCACCCTTAGAAAAGAACTCACGCTCTTCCCTATCACGCTCCGCCAGGGTCCAGCTTCCCTCATCACTATCCATGTTTCGCAACGTATGCCATCCTAGCCGAAATTCGACGTCTCTGTTGTTTGCCAAGGATATGAACATCTTTTCGCTTTCGGAATTGGAAACCAATTTATCGGGCTTAGTGATAACCCCCAAGGTTCGATCGCCTGATTTATCGGCATCTCTTGCGAGTCGTAAAACGATTTGGTTAGCGTAGTCGTTCTTCGCTGATATGACTGCAAGAATGACGCTTCGTGGCTCTTTCATGTAGGACTGGACTACGTTCTGCACGAGCTGAACATCTGCTGCAGATTGTTGTTTTGTCTCCGAGTGGATAAGTCCTGGTAGGTCAACGATCGTCAAGTGCGGTCGATCTGGGCCTGATACCTCAACCCGGAGAAGATCATTCGAGAACGCTTTGCCATGAGTGGATATGCCCATCGCTGCTTTGGCATTATCGATTAGTTGAGGCAGTCCGTCGAAACCGTCGAGCTCTTCGCAGAAACTCCCCAACGACCGTTGTTCAGCCTCGCTGCGCGAGTGATGGGGTACGATGGACACTCTAACTCCAACATTGGTATCTTTTCGGAGCACGAGCTCTGTAGGAAACCGTGTGCAGAGGTTGCTTTTGACGGGGAAGGAGACACCGGATATCGCCTCGAGGACCGAACTCTTTCCTGAGGATTGGTCGCCGCAGACAATAATCTGCGGCAGGGACACATAGTGGCTGATCCCTTGGGAACGAAGCGTGTCGATGGAATTCAAGAGATCGAGTTGTTCCTGGGTACATAGGCTGTCCAGGGCATCCGAGCTGAATTTTTTCAAGACCATTGTGTCTGTAGATTAATTCCGTGGTCAATGGGAAACCGGGAAGTGAAACAAAGGATTATGAGAAGAGTGGGTTTCATTGTATCTCTTAGTCTTCTCGAATATGTTTTGCCTTTGGAAAAGACATCTTTATATGTTTGGTCGTGTGTTCCTCGGAATTTCCAGACTCGCATGTCTCGTTGTGATGTTCACTTGCGCCATGGTGATCCAAGGGCGAGAGTGCTACTGGCCTGATTGATTGACTCGGTAGGAATGAAAGCGGTATGGTTGTGCTACCAGACAGAATGACTTGATCAACTCAGGGACAGCGATTAGCAAGGCAGCTGTGCTAACTACCATATCTAGGGCGAAGCCATTGTATGTTTGAATGCTAGAATCTGTGGAATGCCTGTAATTCTGTCATGCTGAGGCATGATAACGCTATAGTCAGTGGGCTATCTCTTTTTTGACATCCGTCGTCATTGGGCAGTGGAGTAGTATCGTTGCGGCATGCTGATCAAATTCTGAAAGAGGGAATGTGGAAGGGGCGAATGCCAGCAGCAGCAATGAGCTATGCTAACGACCGTTATACAAATATGTGGCAGTTCAGCAATCTTATAACTGTGGGTACTTATAAGCTCTTTAAAAAGAACTTACTATTATTCGTGCTCGGAACCCCCAAATCCGGAAATACCAGCATACCTTCAGTGCACACAACGTTCTGTGATGTGGTGAGGCAGAACAGCCCTTATACATCATTAAATAAACCCATCAGTGTTTCCCTCCTTGCATAGGTGTTATCATTGACGTATGTTATGCGGTATACCAGCGTGCTAGAAAGAGAATTGATCCACTTGTACTACTACCCACAAGATCAATGTACTTACTAGCGTTTGATAGATTGTTTCACCTACATTGAGGATATGAGAGCTTCAGGCCTGAACGCAATAAAGCATAGAAAGTGACTTTCATGGACTAGCCTGGCAAACTGACACTTATCATACAGACAGAACGTATTTCAGGTTAAGCAAATATATTTTCATCAACATATCAAATCCAAAGTGGTGGGTAGCTTTATGACCAACCCAGCATACCCTGAGAATGTAATATGAGTGTGCTTTCACCTCACTTTTAGTATAGCCTTTCTGAAACAGGTCCTTTTCAGGTGATCTGTTTCAGATAAGCATGAAACCATAGACTAAGTCACACGGGCACCTGATAGTTAGTGCGACAGAAGCGATTTTCACTCTGCAATTCCTAACAAAGGTGATGCAGTGGCTTGTTTAGCTGTTGAATTCGACGTAGTGCTTGCGGATTGATCGACGTTGCAGAGCTTGATGTGAATTTCCAGGATTGCAGCACACTAAACCTTTTTCAGGCTTGCAATCGTTACTCGAGGCGGTTCAATGGGAAATCAACCCCTAGAGGATATGAAGATCGAACATTGTCCCCAGCCAACAAATCAGCTCGACTTGCGGCGCGTATCACGGACATAAATTCTGGTAGATGGGTTGTGTGGATGAGACTGGAAGTTGGTTTCGAACAAAGAAGAGGCAGCTATCAAATCACTGAGTTTGTGATATCCGTAACTACGGGAGTCGAATTCCGGATGCCTCTTAGTTAAGAGAGCACCAACTTCGGAAAGACTAGCCCAACCGTCATCACCCGAGGCTGCTTCTACCGATGTTCGCAGCTGAGTTGCTAGGGATTCGTCGGTTTGTATTTTCTCGATGGCTACACGGTGTTCAGGTGCGCGAATGCTAGTGGCATGTGGCTCCAGCTCATCAACATGCACGAGGTTTTCCGTATAGATGAACTTATTACACGCAGCAACAAAAGGCTTTGGCGTCTTTTGCTCGCCGAAACCATAGACCACGAGTCCGGACTCGCGGATACGAGAGGCTAATTTGGTAAAGTCACTGTCGCTGGAGACAAGGCAAAAGCCATCATAGCGGCTAGTATAGAGAAGATCCATGGCGTCGATGATCATGGCTGAGTCTGTAGCATTTTTGCCCTGAGTATATGCAAATTGTTGTATGGGTTGGATTGAGTGATGAAGAAGCTGGTCCTTCCAGCCTATGAGATATTGACTGCTCCAGTCTCCATATGCTCGCTTTGCGTAAACTGTTCCGTATTTTGCAATTTCGGCGAGCAGGCGATGGATGTTGGAATGACGCGCATTGTCTGCGTCGATAAGAACAGCGAATTTTGGCATGGCATCAGCGACCATGTTGGATGACTTGGGAGGTATCAAAATGCTTGACTGTTTTAAGTATTGAGCGGGATGGGTTTCGATTCAGGAATTGTCATGAACCTTCGCTAACTTCTTCGTATCTTATACTGTGATAAATTTTAATTAAACGAGGTCATGACGATACATCTACGTGATGGAAGATCAAGAGGGGGGTTTCGTATCCGATCAACTCTCCTCCTTCGTATCCTCCAGCAACCATTGCAATAGGATAACCAAGCGGCACATCCCTGCTTACGTCCGAATGTTGTTATTCGTGTCATGGATGGTGCGTACTTGGAAAAGTACAGCCGCAACCCTGCGAAGCCCTCTTTCGGGGAGCAGGCGAGCCGGGTCGGCGATGTGAATGATCCAAGGAACTCAGAGTGACCAAGTGCCCTATGTAAGGGTGGTACAATGTTCTATTCTTGAGTTCCTGGGCTTTCGAGGAATATCGAGACAGTGGTTGCAGGAAATCTGCTGGAAGAAGGGAAAATATCAGTTAAGTAGTACTGGTCAAAATCACGTGGTGGAGCCATTCCGGCCACTAGTTAACCTTTTCGCTATGCGCCTGTCACTTGCTACTTAATTAAATCTGGCCGTTGGACCTCGGCATCTCTTTAATGCAGTCATTCCCCGGATTACAACAACTTTACTTGTTATGATGCAGCTCTCCCTCCCTTTCCCCCTTTCCTTCCTCGGCAACTCTCCAATTTCAACTCTATTAAATCAATCTCCAACGGTTTCCTTAAGTCCAACAACATTCATTCAACTTACTCCACCGCATCGACACTCTTATCTAGCATTAGCATAAACTCGCACATCATCATGTCCGACTACACATACCAACACTTCAACGTTACATTCCCGCCCGAACGTCAATATGTCGCTCACGTGGAGATCAACCGCCCCGACAAAATGAACGCTTTCATTGAAAGGTACCACCACCTCCTCCTCCTCCTCCTCCTCCTCCTCCTCCTCCTCCTCCCCCTCCCTCTTTTTTGCCGATCAAACTAATATGTGTTCCACCTCCCAAGTATGTGGCTGGAACTTTCCGCCATCTTTACCCGTCTCTCCTCGGACTCCTCTGTCCGCGCCATCGTCCTCACCGGTGCCGGCGACCGCGCATTCACTGCCGGCCTCGACGTCAAAGCCGCCTCCGAAGGCCTCCTCTCCGACACCAACACCACTAGCGATCCCGCCCGCAAAGCTGCCCAAATGCGCCGCCATATTGACGAGTTGCAAGAGTGCATCTCATCCCTCGAAAAGTGCGAGAAACCGGTGATCGTGGCTTACCACGCTATCTCCTACGGTCTCGCCGTGGACATTGGTGTGGCTGCTGATGTGCGGGTATGCTCGGCGGATGTCCGCTTTGCCGTCAAGGAAGTAGACATTGGCTTGGCGGCGGATGTCGGGACGTTGAGTCGGTTGCCCAAGGTGGTGGGAAATTACGGGTGGGTGAAGGAGGTGGCTTTAACCGCGAGAAACTTTGACGCGGAGGAGGCTTTCCGCGTGGGATTTGTCAATCGCGTGTACAAGAACAAAGAGGAGACGGTCCGAGGTGCGTTGGATTTGGCACAGTTGATAGCAACCAAGAGTCCGGTTGCGGTGCAGGGGACCAAGGAGCTGCTGAATTATTCGAGGGATCATACCGTTCCGGAGGGTAAGTATACTTGGGTATTTCTAGGATCGTAATATATACTCGGGTGCTAATTCTATCCTCTACACTCTAGGGCTGTGGCATACGGCTGTCTGGAACAGTGCCATGCTACAGACTAAGGATGTTTCCGCCGCATTGCTTTCAGGTATTCAAAGAAAAAAACCCACGTTTGAGAAGTTGTGATGTAAATTACCACTGCTGGTACTGGTACTCAGCATGACTATCTGCTTGAATTCAGGCTGCCTCGAGTTTGACGGGTTCAAGCAGAGGCGAGGCCAGTCAGGACGATCTACTGCAAGCGCAGGAAATAGAGAGAATATATCTCGTGAACGTTGCATTGTCAGCAATCAGAAAAGAGCGATGCAAGTAGTAATGATGACATGATATATCATTGATGTTAGCCAGTGAAGTCCAACAAATTATTTTACTTGCGCTCTTTCTGTACCTTGGACACGGCAGATGATGTCTACAATATTATCCGGAAACGCTGAAGCCGAGAAGCCAAGGCACAGATGAATAGGCTAAGCGGCCCATCATGTCACCCGTCCGCACAGACTCGTTCTGTTGTGGATCCTCGTATGTAGATTCAGGTTGCATCGACCCGCTGGTCCAATCAGCCGCTTAGTCGGGCTGCAAACCAGGTCCCAGCATCGAGCTGGCAGGGTGCTTATCTTCAATCTGACAGACGGTCAAAGCCTCCTCACGGTAAGTACTACTAGGTTCGAATTCTGATCGCTTCCACCAGAATGGATTCAACAACACTGTCACAGGGGTCCACGTTTCACCACTTACTCGGAGCCTTGAAGATAAAACCCCTTGTCTCTGCCTCCTGCCTTTCTAGCAACTGCCTTCCATATAGTCTTATACATCTCGACTTGATGTCTCCCCTCGAGAATGCGGGTCATCTTCAAACCACCCCCGGTGGGCTATTCAAAATCCAACGGGAAGACAAAAGCCCAGGAGACAATCGGAATCTAGCAAACAATCACACATACACCCTATGAAACCCGTTGGGAGCTCTCACTGCCGCTTGAAGTCCCACCTCAGCCACCTGCAACTGCGTGCGGGATGTAGCCAATCCCTGTCACACTTCATCCGCCACGCCGTCGTATTTCCTACTAGTCCGGGTGCCTTGACATTTTGCGTTGATTAGGCTGCAGTGTGGTGTGTGACGAAAGCCAATTTCAAGCGAAACACAATCTGTCATCGCCTAAGAATGAATCAACAGCGGAACGGATCCTCAAATTCCACCCTTTTCGCGAAAACTCGTTCCTCTCTCGAAAGCACCTTCTCTCGAAATAAGTCACCATTCTCCAGTCATGACTACTACAGAAGGTTCTCGACCAGATAACTACCCTCACCTTACCAGTCCGTTCAGGTCAATGAAGGCCCAGTACGATGTGGTTGTTGTCGGGTCTGGATATGGCGCTGGGGTCGCGGCGAGTCGAATGGCTCGAGCAGGGAAGAGCGTCGCAGTCATTGAACTGGGTTGGGAGAGACGTCGTGCGTATGCCCTCATTATTTGAACCCATCAGAGCGCAGTGACTAACATTCATGGTGCAGCGGGTTCCTTCCCTCGTTCCCTTTTTCAATGTTTGGAGGATCTCAACATCTCGGGCATTTCCCAATGGTGGTTGCCAGACAAACCCACTCGCCTGTTTCAGCTTATTCTGGGGGATGGGCAGCATGCTCTTGTCGCTCGTGGTATGCCAACCTTACAACAAATGAAACCTGACTGAAACGGGTTTCGATTATGATTTTGCATATGGAGAGCATCTAGTATTAACGTCTCTCAATCAATTTTTCAGCACTGGGCGGCTGCTCACTTATCAATGCAGGCGTCTTTCTCGAAGCCGATCGAGAGACTCTGCAGATGAGTGTATGGCCCTCAGAGATAAGACATGACATGTCTGCGCTCCGACCGTGTGAGTTGCATCAAACGGTTATAGGGAAATGTGTTCCTAATGCTTTAAACTAGACTACTCGCACGCGGCAGAAGTGTTGCAGCCGTCACCATACCCAGAAGACCATCCACGTCTTCTGAAGCTTGAAGCCATTCAGATACAAGCAGAATGGATGGGTAAGGTAGTAAGTTTCTACCGCACACCACTAACAACATTCTTTTGTCGAAAGCGCAACCATGTCGGCGTCATGATGCAGAACAATCGCGGTTCGGGAAATGAGAGTACCGGTCTAAATGATGGATCTAAAAACACTGTTGCTACGACTTACCTCACAGATGCATGGAATTGGGGTGCTGAGATCTTTTGCGGGTGCGAGGTACGGTATATAGAGCAGGCACCAAACCAAGATGGCTACGTGGTGTACTTTGCGTGGCATGCAAGAGGGAGGTCGGCTTTTGGTGAAGAAGTCAAGACCCAGTTGTTTTGGGTCAAAGCTGTAAGTTTGGTAACCAGCATTTATGAGCCTGCGCTTATAGGGTATCATTTACCTAGAACGAGTTGTGTTTCCTTGGGGCTGGCGCTTTGGGGACAACGGAGATCTTGCTTCGCTCAAAAGACTACGGTCTGCCAATCTCACCCATGGTGGGAAGGAATATGTCAGGGAATGGGGACATGCTGGTCTTTGGTAAGCCTGGACGAGATGGATGTAGACCATGACTAAAGACAAGCCTCAGGATACAACAGCGACTCGAAGGTGAACGGCGTCTCAGAGGCGGCATCAGGCCCTGCGAACCGACCAGGTCCAACAGTCACCGGCGTTGTGGATCGAAGAGGGTTATCCCCAGGGGACGCGCTCGCCGGTTATGTGATTGAAGACGGATGCATACCAAAAGCGTTGAGCCCGCTAATTCAAGCCAAGCTTGTGCTGCAAACCATACGTTTTCCAGCTCCATGGTCAATTTCGGAGAGCATATCTCGGTTTGGGGAAACAATATCCAAGTTCAAGTTGCTTCCATTCAAACTATATAAAGTGAGAGGAGCTATGCAACGCACATCGACCTATCTAGTCATGTCACACGACAGTAACGAACTTACACTCACCTTGAAAGACGATCGACCGATTCTACGCGGTCCTGGAGAAGGACGGTCTGAAAATTGTTCCAACATCCGAAACGCTCTGAGCCATGTCATTAGCCGAGCAGGAGGGAAAATAGGATCTTCACTATTGCGTGGTACGGTCCCCATTATTGTTGGCTTAGCATGCTAATAAGGTGCTCCTAGGTCGTGACCGGGAAGAAGTCACTGTTCACCCCCTCGGGGGTGCCAATATGAGTAACACTGGCACAGGTCGTGGAGGTGTCACTAATCATCTAGGCCAGGTGTATAACGGCCATGGAAGTGCGACACATGGAGGCCTTGTGTGCTGCGATGCCTCGGTTATACCAACTGCATTGGGTGGGTACAGGTTCCCAAGGATTGCTGCAACTGCTAACAACTTAGGCGTGAATCCAATGGCTACAATAACCGCGCTTGCCGAGCGATCTATCGATTTGATTGCCAAAAAGCGACAGTTTTCCATCGATACTGACACTCCAAACGGAAGACTCGACGTCTATTCGCAACCGATGGTATCAAGGAGGGTAGAGCATGGCTTTCAGAAGGCGGCTAAGGTGGATCAGGCACCATTATCAATTGGGTGGCAGTTCTCCGAGGTCCTCGATGGACACATATATATGCAATCGAATGATTTGGGCTTTGACGCATGCGAAACACTGGGTCGCAGTTCGTCGTGCACCATGCGCATGTTTCTTACCATCGAAATTTGTCGAAGAATAGGTGAGTCTTCAGATGCAGAGCATAGCATGGTTCTCACAATGTTAGATACTTTTGGTTTACAGTATGAAGGCATATGCACCGGAACATTGGCCTGTC